CCCCACCTGTGCCGGATCCGCCGCCGGCTGGCCCCGGCTCCGAGGTAAGCCCCCCGCGCCGGGCGATCGCCGGCCCGGCGCCGCGCACTCCACCCCTCCCTCTCGTCCCCCCGAAGTGTGTCTGCCGATACCCCCCGCTTCCCCCCCAAAAAAGTCGTGGGGTCACCAGGTCTCGACCTGGGGTGCAGGGGGGCAGCTCCGGCTGCTTTTGTCCCCGCGCTGGGCGTGTGGAGAGGGCTGCGGGAGGGAGGGGGTGCGCCCAGCACAAAGGCCTGGCGCGAATAAGGGGCTGGGGGGGGTGGGGACGGATTTCCCACGTGGGTTGGTCTTGACCGCGGGTGGACCCCCCTCCCTTTCCCACGTGGGAGGGGTCCCGGGAGCTGGCCTACCCCCTTTGCCGGGGGTGTCTGTCTGTCTGCAGTCTGTCCGACCATCTGTGTCTGGGTCCATGGCATTCTTGAACCCAGTACTGTGGGCCAAGTACCTTGCAGAGCTGGGCGAGTTTACAGGGTTAGGCATGTGGTCAAAGCAGTGGGGGGGGGATCGTAGAAAGGGGGTGCACTGGGCCCATCTTTGGGGCTCCCAGATGAGAGAAAGAAAGAAAAAGGAGGGAAACAAAGTCTCTAATGGGACAGAGGGGTGTCCTCTTAATGCCCACCCCGGTGGGTTGGTTTTTTTAGGGGTGTATGTGGGGGGCACCCCATCTCCGTTTGGTAGATCTTAAGGCTGCACCCCAAATCCCCCTCTTCTTTTGCAGTAGCGCCTGTCCATCCTCCAGAAGCTCCCTCTTCTCTCCCTCCTCCCCACTGCCTGCAAGTTTCCACTGTTATCTCAAACGTGCATGAAGGAATTTTATTGCACCGAGTGAATAACAGCATTAGTTTCAATTAATTTTTTTTTAATCCCGGCAACAATAAACTTTGAGAACAAAAGCGCTTTTTTTTTTAACGTCCTTAATTAGGCTAGCTTCCCATCTGTGGTCTCAGTGTCTGCCTCCCTGATTTAACTTTGTCCCCGCCCCCTCCCTCTGAACTCCCCCTCTTTTTCCTTCTCTTCCCCCCCTCCCTTTCCAAGGGCCGGGCCAGGCACTTGGGGTGCCATGGTCACCCCTCTCCCCAAGCTCCCTGTGGCTGCTGGGCCTGGCTGAAGCCGGGCCTGGTGACTCCGGGCTTCTGCGCCTTCTCCAAGCCCCCCCACCCCCTGGCATTTTCTGCCCTTGAGGACAGGGCCCCGCAGGCCATGGAGGAGAAGAGCTGAAACTTTGCAAGGCGCCTTCTGTTTACCTTTTATGGCGGAAAAAAAATTAAAAATAACAGCTTAGCAAAAGAAACCACTTCACCAAGAAAACGATTTTCAACGAAATCATCTCCAAGCTGCCAGCGCCTCGCAACTCAGCCGGGCTTCATCACCCCCGGAGAGCTGAACAACTGCAAGCACAATGGGACACAAAGTCATTTTGTGTGCAAATGAGCAATGGTTGTCTGCTCACTTCCTTCTTGCTATGGAAGGGCAGGATGGGTGCAAGAACCCGGAGATCTCTCCCCTGCCACTGCTTGGAGCCAGAGGGTCAATCCTGGGCCAGGTTCAGGTTGCAAACCCTCAGGCAGGCATGCTCTCCCTCTCCCTCCCTCCCTCCTTCCCTCCCTCTCTCTCTCTCTCTCTCTCTCTCTCTCCCCTCTTTTCCCCCTCTCTCTTTCTCTCAGTTGTATCTCACTAAAGCCTGGGCAACAGGCTGAGCCTCAGGAGGGTGGGCAGGCACTGGGTCTGGGTCTTGATGTGATACACCCGGTTAGTGGAATGCACTCTTTATAATCATCCATTTTTCTGCTTCTGATCCTAGCTGTGGTCTGGAGGAGAGGATCGTTCCCCAGCACAGATGCGTTGGTGGTTTGGTGAGGGAGCTTTGGAGATTCGGGTCAAGGCATAAGGCCTGGGGGCTTCTAATGGTGAGTTTGCCATGGACCTCAGGTTATGTTTCGGGTGTGTGTGCTTTCCTGGGCAGCTGAGTTCAGCTTCTAAAGGACCCATTTATCCTCGGTGGGTCTTCCCTGAGGACTTATTCATTCCTCCAGTCTGTTTTGGTGTCTCAGAACTTCCTTGAGATAAATGACCTGATTTGTTTCCTTTCTTCCTACCTTCTTTCCTTCCTTCCTTCCTTTCTTTCTTTCTTTTTCTTTCTTTCTTTCTTTCCATGCTTTGTTTCTTGAATTTCTTTTTTATTTTTGGCTGGGGCTGGGCTTGAACTCTGGGCCTGGACACTGTCCCTCAGCTTTTTTACTCAAGGTTTACACTCTAACACTTGAGACACAGCTCCAATTCTAGTGGGGTTTTTTTTGTTTTGTTTTTTTGTTTGGGTTTTTGTGTGTGTGTGTGTGTGTGTGTGTTTTGGTGGTTAATTGGCTATAAGAGTCTCATAGACTTTCCTGCCCAAGCTGGCTCTGAACCTTGATCATCAGATCTCAGTCTCCTGAGTAGCTAAGATGACAAGGCATGAGCCACTGATGCCCAGCTCCTCCCTTCCTCCCTTCCTTCCTTCCTTCCTGCCTACCTGCCTTCCCTCCTTCCTTCCTTCCTTCCTTCCTTCCCTCTTTCCTTCCTTCCTTCCTTCCTTCCCTCTTTCCTTCCTTCCTTCCTTCCTTCCCTCTTTCCTTCCTTCCTTCCTCCCTTCCTTCCTTCCTGCCTGCCTGCCTTCCCTCCCTCCTTCCTTCCTTCCCTCCTTCCTTCCTTCCTTCCCTCTTTCCTTCCTTCTTTCCTTCTTTTCCTCCCTCCCTCCTCTCCCCTTTCTTTCATCTGAGAATCTGAAGCCAGGCTGGACCAGGAAAAAACCCATGAGACACTTTATCTCCAATTAAACATCAAAAAAAGCTGGGAGTGGAGCTGTGGCTCAAGTAATAGAGCAGAGGGCTCTGAGTTCAAGCCCCAGTACTCCTCCTTTATAAAGAAAAGGAAAAGAAGAAAGAAAGAAAGAAAGAAAATAGGCTATTACCCTTCACTTCTCCAGACAGTATCAGGAACTTTTTGTTTTGGCCACTCTGAAAGAAGCATAAGAGAATAAGTGCCCTGCCTTCACATTTGTCAGATTTGAAACTCACTCAACCTAGTGTATGTTTTAAAATGGGATGTTGAGTTTCAACATGTTGAGCCAGAGTATAAAGAAGGGAGGAAAAAACAACAACAGCAAAAAGTCTTTTGGGGTCCTCATGATATCACTTAGTTTCTAAGAGTTAAACTTGTGGGGAAGAAATCTGGACTGGGTTTGTGGAAGTTGTTTGTGTATGTGTGTGTGTGTGTGTGTGTGTGTGTGTGTGTGTCTGTCTGTCTGTCTGTCTGTCCGTTTGTCCATCTGTCCCCTGGAGCCAGCCTCAACTCAGTGGCAGGGACTACCAAAAGATACCATAGCTACCATTCTTCATCTCTCCTTCCTGCATGGAGGGGGAGGGTGGTCCTGGGAGTGACTCTCTATATTGAGGGGTGCTCTTTATTTCTGGTAGCCATGACTGCCCCAGTCCCCTCCACTCTGTAGCTCTGGGCAAGGGAGACAGAGTCTTATTTGATGATGGTTGTTGTCTGGCCAGCTCCCTAATTTTAGCCTGAGGTGGGGGGAGGAGGGTTGTGCCTGATCCTGGGGTGGGGGCGGGGGTCTGGAATAGATTAGGCACTGACACCATCCTCCTCGGGGTTGGGGGGTGTGGGGGTCTGTAGAGAAGCTGAGAGGTGCAGATCAGGCCAACAAAAAAGATTTTTCTCTGCTCTTGGCCGCCATTGGAGAAGAGTTTGCTTCACAAATGATTTGCTTTCTGCTGCCCTGGGCACCCCAGCTTACAGAGGGTTGGGGGGTACAGCACAGGGGGTGGGGGGAATCCTTCCTGAGCTCCTGGCTATAAGATTTGCTGTTTGGTACAAGAGGAGACATGCTTGGTAATATGGCTTTAAACCAAGAAAAAAAAAAAAACATGTATACACCAGGAAAATCAGATTTGTGCTACAGCATTTTGTTTCAGTATTGCCATTAGTTGAATTCGCAGCCATGGAGCTGCCCAGAAAACACATGTGTGCGCACACACGTGTGTGTGTGTGTGTGTGTGTGTGTGTGTGTGAGAGAGAGAGAGAGAGAGAGATTTATTCTATGCCCTAAGGCCTGTTTCAGGGGTGTCACAGGCAGGAATCTTGGCAAGACAGGTGAAATCTGGGAGGGCTTCCTGGTGGACAAAAGATCCCAGAGAGTGTGCTGAAGGTCATGATTGCAAGCATCTCTGATTCGAGAGACCCAGCAGCACCCACAATGATTAAGTAGTAAACCTTCTGTGTCTTTGTCATTATTTCCCACAGATACCCTGGGCCGGGATGGAAGTCTAAATAAATGCCTCACCGGAAAGAGCGGACGAGCGAGTCCTCAAATCACAGTCACGGCCGGGCCGGCACTGTGGTGAGCTTAGTCCTGCAGGATGGGCTGGGGTCAGCTGCTCTTTGCTGGAAGTCCTACTTATTGGCTGGCCTTTGTCTATCTTTTTATCACCTTTCACTCAAGCTTTTTCGCTCAAGGCTGGTGCTCTATCACTTGAACCACATTCCCACTTGCGGTTTTTTGCTGGTTCATGAGAAAGGAGTCCTGAACTGAGACCCTCAAATCTCTTACCTGAGTGGCTTGGATTACAGGCATGAGCCACCAGCACCAGGCTTGATCATGCATTTTTTGCTTTTTCTTCTTTTTTTTTTGGAACCCAAAAGGGAAAAAAAATTGCTCTTAATTTGATGTGAAATTTACTACATGTATAAAACTCACTGCCTCAGGAGCTTGAGGAAGTCACTAATTTAGAGGTGTCTCGTTACTGAGACAAACTTGCAAACACATACACACACACACACAAACCCTGAATCCCAATTCACAAATTGGTGATTCGTTCGTCAGGGGATATTTCACATGTAACACATAAGCCCGCGACCTTTAATTAGAATTTTGCAGTTTGTTTTATGCCCCTAGAGGCTGACACCTTGGAAAAAAGTTCTTTTTCCTTGATTTCTAATTGCTAATAAGCATTTTTCTTTCTTTCTTTCTTTCTTTCTTTTCTTCCCTCCCTCCTCCCCACAACCCCCTCTGGTATTTTAAAGAAAATGATGCAAATGCACTTAATTACAGCGGTGGCCCGTAATTTGTCAGCTGAATATATGATTAGGCAGAGGCAGAAGGGATCTGATGAGATCTGTGATCACACTTAACAATAAAGGAGATGCAGGTCTCGATCTTTGGGAAATTATGGTTTTGGTTTTGTTGGTCATGGGGCTTGAACTTGGGGCCTGGGTGCTGTTCCTGAGCTCTTTTTCACTCAAGGCTAGCGCTCTACCCCTTTGAGTCACAGCTCTATTTGCAGGGTTCTTCTGGTGGGTTAGTTGGAGAGTAGAGTTTCACAGACTTTCCTGTCCAGACTGGCTTCCAACTGTGATCCTTAGATCTCAGCCTCCTGAGCAGCTAGGGCGACAGATGTGAGCCTCGGCAGTCTGGCTGGAAATCCTGTTTTGTGTTTTCCAGGAGGAAGGAAATATGTCCCGATTGTCACTCACCCGGTCCCCCGTGTCTCCTTTGGCTGCCCAAGGGATCCCGTTACCAGCTCAGCTCACCAAGTCCAATGCCCCTGTCCACATCGACGTGGGTGGCCATATGTACACCAGCAGCCTGGCCACTCTCACCAAGTACCCTGACTCCAGGTAAGACCTGAACACTGAGACTTGATGTTCCACCATGCTCACCTTAGTTCTGTGATCCAAAGCTCCTCTTCCTTCCTTCTTTCTTTTTGGGTTACTTGAACTGGGCATTGTCCTAAGCTTTTGTTTTCAAGGCTAGCATTCTACCACTTGGAGCCACAGCTCCACTCCTAGCTTTTGGGTGGTTCATTGGAGCTAAGAGTCTCACAGACTTTCCTGCCTTGGCTGGGCTTTGAACCACAATCCTCCAGATCTCAGCCTCCTGAGTAGCTAGGGTGATAGGCATGAGCCACTGGTGCCCAACTTTGTTCTGATTTGGGGGGGGGGCAAAGGTTGAGCATATCCCCACCTGGGAGCAAGTGCCTTCCTTCCACACTGGGCCATCCTGAGAGTGGCACCAAGGCTGACTTTTGCCCCTCCCAGGGGTAGATCTGGTTTCTGATGGTACCAAGGCAGGGCTGATGGAGGTAGAGGGTCTCTGAGCTCCTAGAGGTGATCTGGTGTGGAGCCCCCCACAGCAAGGCAGCCCCCTCTCTCCGCGGACTGTGGAGGGCTGAGCGATGCTGGGATTATGACACCTGTTGTCTATTGCTTGTTTGCATTTGGGTTTTTTTTTGGGGGGGGGTTGTTTGTTTTTTGTGCTGTGTGGAGCTTGAACTCAGGATCACTGTCCTTTAGCTTTGTTCACTCAAGGCTAGTATTGTACCACTTAAGTCACCCCTCTACTTTCTAACTTTTTTTGCTGGTTCATGGGAGATAAGAATCTCCACTGACTTTTCCTTATCCTGGCTGGCTTTGAACTGTGATCCTCAGATCTCAGCCTCCAGAGGAGCTAGGATTACAGGCATGAACCACCACCACCTCCTGTCTATAACATCTATTTTATGCATTTAAAATAAGGAGTTAGCCAGGTGTCAGTTGCTCTTGCCTATAATCCTAGCTCCTCAGGAGGCTGAGATCTGAGGATCCGGGTTCAAAGCCAACCCTGGCAGGAAAGTCCATGAGACTCTTATCTCCACGGAATCACCAGAAAATGGGACGTGGCACTGTAGCTCAAGTGGTAGAGTGCTAGCCTTGAGTTGATGAGCTCAGAAACAGCAACCAGGCCCAGAGTTTATGCCCCATGACTGACCAAAAATATAACAAAATTAAAAATAAAAATAAGGAGTTAATGCTCCCCAGATACCCAGAAGTCATCGCTGGGGAGCTTTCTTGGGGGTGCCTGTCACTGCGATGTGGTTGCAGGGCATAGCTGATCTTAGTGTGTGCAGGTATCTGCTTTTGGCGGGGACCTGTGAGGGCCAGATAGGACCCTCACAGGAAGAGAATGGCAGAGGTGGACACATGTCTGGTCCAGAATTTTGGGGTCTGGATAATGGTTGAAGCTTTTATTTCTTCAGCACAGCAGAGATTAGATGAGGAGCTGTTATAAGCCTGTTAGCATCTTGTATTGTTTGGGATGAACAATGAATTCTGCTTGTTTCGTTTGTTTTTGCTTTCTGTGGCATTCCCAAGTTGAGTGAGATAGGTCTTCCTTTAATCAGTTGATGATGTTTGTGGGGGAAAATTATAAAATCTATGTCTCAAGCCCCCTTGGAAAAAAAAAATGACAGCCCAGGCTTGAACCGTGTGTGTGTGTGTGTGTGTGTGTGTGTGTGTGTGTGTGTGTGTGTGTGCCAGG